TTTCCTTCATCCTAACATTGGCTCTCAAATAACCTTAGTTGATATGTACAATTATAGTATCATTGATATCAACAATGTAATAATCTACCTTTTCAATAACTTAATATAAAAAAATGATCATATTTTGCATGCATGGTGTCATATTTTGTGAAATTTGTTTGAGAATGTACAAGGCACTTGATTGTGGAAAGTAAAATGGAACTTACAACAAGAAGATCTCAACAACACTAATAGAAATCTAAACAAATTCTAATTAAATTATAATAATATTAATCAATTTTTAATTAAATTCCAAAAGAAGTTTTAAAGAATTTATAAAAAAAAACATTGAAACATCATAAATTAATCTTAATGGAATATATATAATAAATAAATCTTAAAAAATCTTAAAAATAAAAATTCTAATTGAATCCTAACCAAACTTAATAGAACCCTTAATAAATTCTAAATAAATCATAACTAAGTCTTAATAAAATCTTAACTAAATTCTAATTAAATCCTAATAGATCTTAATAAAATCCTAAATTCTAATCTTAGACTAAATCTTAATAAAATTCTAATAAAATCCTTACCAAATCTTAATCAAATCCTAATAAAATCCTAGTCAAATCTTAGACTAAGTCCTAATGAAATCCTAACCAAACCCTAATCAAATTCTAATCAAATCCTAGACAAAATCTTAATCAAATTCTAGACCAAACATTGATAAAATTTTAGATATAATTTTAATCAAATTCTAAAGAAATCCTGATGAAATCCTAAATCATAATCAAATCTTAGATCAAATCTTAATTAAATCCTAATCAAATTTTAATTCTAACTAAATTCTAACTAAATTTTAGACCAAATCCTAACCAAATCTTAAATCAAATCCTAATAAATCCTAATGAATCCTAATCAAGCTCTAAAAAAAATCTTAAATCATACAACAAATTGAAATATCAATAACTAATGATCAAAACATTGATTTTGATTCAAAATTTTTAAATTTCTCATTAACTAAGTTGGAAATAAGTACAAAATATTTTAACAAGATCAAACATATCAAAGAAAAGATAACCTCTAAAATCTACTTGAATATTTTTCGACTTCCTTTTCTAATTTTGATGCCAATATTTTAGAGCCAAAAACTCTTAATTTAATTATTTAATAAGTCTCAAACTTTTTACAATTTTAGGAAGTTAAGTTTATTACTTGTATGAAAAATTTGACTTCAATCTAAATAACAGATTGATGAATATCTTAGAAATCCTAACTAGTCTTCTGAATTCTAATTTCTAAGACCTCAATAAGTTTGAGCTTTAATAAGCTTTGAATGACCTATTATATCAATCTTAAAGTTGCAATACATATTATATATAATAATAATTATTTAATCACAATTGTACCTTGGGATTTGATTTTGACTTTGGTTCACAACTAATCCTCCTTGAATATCAATTCTTTATATTTTGAGAAATTTTTTTATTAAAAATTATTCTTAATCTTTTCTTAAATATGTCTATATCAATTATTTATTTTATTTACTTTGATTTGACTTATTTATACCTCCACAAAATAAATAGAAGTCTTTTCTATAAAAAAATAATATTAAAATTAAAGTTTTTACTATCTTTTTATTATTTATTCTTATTTTTTTATTACATCTTTTTATTAGGCTATTCTATTATATATATATATATATATATATATATATTTATCTAATGATAATATTATTATAAAATATTAAACATTAAAAATAATCTTCTTTTCATTAGATTTTTAATATAAAAAGATCTTATTCTTTACTTTATACAACATTCATGCTTCATCAAAAATTCTCATAGTGTCATCATTGTTTGGACCAACTGTCAAATCTCCAATGGACTCTACTACCTTCATAGTACTATCTTTCTTAGTTGTTTCAAAGTTAAGTCTTACTCACTATATCCAACATCAACACTTCCTACCACCTCCACATTTGTCTTCTAGCATTATAGATTCAATCTTATCCATCCACAAAGTCTCTGCTGCATGATATAATATCATTCTATAGATGACATCTTTGCTATCTCTATTAGTAATAATGCTTATGTCATTTGTTTCCAAGAAAAATAATTCCTCATAATGGTTTCAAAATTACAATCGAGAGTAACCCATTGTATCCTTGAACTAATTCAATTTAATGTCACTAGATCCTTTTGCATCTCCTTTTTTGGCAGGCATGCTACTTCATTACCTTTATCAATAATTATCCACAGATGATATTTGTTTATTTCATAGAAAAAATGAAAAAAATAAAATAAAATAAAAAAATGAGGTTTTTTTTTTTTTTTTTATCAATTATATATGTTTCTTGTCATTTTTGAGTTATAATGTAGCACCAAGCTTTATTCTCTTTGCATTGATAATAGGAAGAATGTACATCCATTGTCTTTTATAATTATTGTACTAAATATGGCATCCATTGGAAATTCATCAATTATGTACCTTCCAATATAATAGTATAGTTAAATACCATTATTGCACTCTGCAAGACATAATTAAATGATTCTTCCTCAAATGCAATCTGCCAAGCTTTCTATAGGCCAAGACAATCCTAATTGCTTATTTCTTGCTTAATTGGTATACTACAAATGTTCACCCACATGTAACACGTCAGCATCCAAGAATTACAAGAATTTAATTTCTTCCTCTTTTGAATATCAAAGGCCAATAGATAGATGTTGTAAAAGATATCAAAAGATATCAAGGGCTACCTACAAGTGAGCTTGTTGGAAGAGGTCCATGAATCAATTAAGAATAGAGACTAGAAATCTAATGTCTAGCAAATTTTAAGCATATAATCTAATTCACTGACAAGGCACTAAAATCGCCTTAAATCAACTCATGATGAGTAAGTATCTTTGTACGATTTGACAAGGTTAAACAATAGTATATGAAGAGAAGCAAAATTCACACAATGTTTTGTAAGAAACTTGTGTACATAGCTTGTTTGGTCAAGCACAACATTATAAGAGGTTTGTTTGAATTGGACATCAAAGAAACACTATAGTTGATCAAGGTCATACATTTTATATAATTGTTGGAGTTGTGTTTTTAGATCAAAGATGCTATAAAGGTTAGAACCTATGATATAGAGCTCATTGATGTATAATATTAGAAGAATAAGTGATGTCGTATGACATTAGAAGTAGACATAAGAATTAGCATTAGTTTCGCAAAGGTCCCAATATTGTAAGTTGGCATTAATTTGGTTGTACTAGGTTTAGAAATTCTAACAAAGACCATACAGTGAGCAGTTTAGGCAGCAAGAAAAGTGCTTTATGCCAAGGTAAATATATCTTTGTGGCTAGTCCATAAAGAATGTTTTTTTAGTCAATCATTAAAGAATGCTATAGAAATCTTTATATGGTAAATAAGCCAACCATGATGAATAATAAGGGCACTAATAGTCCATATAGATTGCAATTCCAAAAATTTAATTTTTTGAAAAATATAAAAAAAAAATCAATTTCAGAACCCTTGACAAAATTAAAAACTTTTTTCAACTTACTAAATAGTTTATAATTAATTTTTAGATTCTAGATAATTATAGGCCACTTTCTTACTTCTAAAGCTCTTATATTGAGTACCTCAATAACCAATTACTTCACATCTGCATTTTATCCAAGTTGAAAAGACCTCAATGAATCTACCTATTCAAACATCATAGTAACGCTGTACTTGTGCCGACAAAGTTGCCTTCTACGACCTACCTATTGAAAAAGATGCGGCTAAAAATAGACAATTATCTCTATGATTGGACAAGGGCTGCATTAACTCTAAACTTTTTAGGTTCTACTCTTAAAAAATCATCCAATCCATCACTAAAACTAGTTCTATAATACATTGGTGCATGACCAAGAAAATCGACCAAAATAAGATTAAAATAACTTATACATGTCTTCATTCCAATCACTTGATTAGCTCTTGAAAAATGGATCAAACATCCAACAATGTAACCAACCTAGAGCAACAACTCGATAGTGATAAAGCTTAAAGTTAATGAACTTGATCCATCATCATTAGGCAAAAGAGGAGTTGCAAGCAAAAGGGAGTATTAGCAGTTGCTCTTACTCTTAGGATTAGCACCCTTCTTTGATATTGTTCCCAATGAGAACATTGTTTCTTACTGATCCCAAGAATTTCCATCACAGTACTTAGTTTATATGTTTCCTCTTCAATCAATGAACTTACAATTTCCTCCAGTTAGTGGACACAGTGTTCTTATATGTACAGTGCTTCGCACAACACCTCTGTGTACCCAACCTTCTTCAGAGCGTAGAGTGGGATCTGCAATTTCTTTTTTCTTTTTTCTTATCTTATTTGTTTGGTTCAAAAATGACTAAATCATCTCTCTATATATGTACACACATGCACACAAGGGATGACCTATCTCTATCCGCTCTAAAATCAAATATCAAAGTAGCTTTGTCACTAACTTAAGAACAAACGATTTTGGTTTGTTATACCAAATTAATGTCAATGGCATCAAATCCCAATCCTCATATGCAACTTAAGACTGCCACCTAAGCAAACTGGGTACAAGTGTCACCCCTAAAGCATGACCCACCAAGCCATTTTAACCAATGCAATAAACAATTCCAGGTTATACCAATAACCTCTAGAAATGCCTTAATTAGTAGACCGATCACAAAATTAGAGTAGATCCCAACCTCACACCTTTCAACTCCCAAGAGCTGTTAACCCTCCTGGAAGCGAATCTACACATCTTTTGGATCATCAATATCTAAACTTCACGAAATAGTTCAGGTGAAGATGGTATAGAAACAAAGACCATTAAATAAATAAATAACTAACTAACTAACCAACGTTCATGCGGTCTAAAAACGGGCCGGGCCGGTTGGAGTAGCATCCGTTTCCTCGGTTGTCGGCTCGCCCCCTCGAGGAGGCCACCCCACGGGCACGGGCCACCCGAGCCCACGGCGCCAACCCCCGCGTGACGAGAGCTTCATGATCCATTGCATTTCAAAGCGGTGTTGCTGCGTAGAGCTGTTCCGTCGGAGGCTGTGGTCGCTGCAGTCGGGAGAGAGGGAGGAGCCGCTTCGATCCAGACCCCGCACTGAATTCCAAGCCATTCATATATACATACTTCCACACTTGCGAGTGGTCGCAACGCAACGGTGCCAATAGTTCTGTAGGAGCTTTGTGGCGACTCGTTGCTTGCTGGGGGACGGGTCTTCGTCCTAGCTTGTGGGTGGTGGGTTGCATTGTCGCGGGATCTCAGTGAATCGGGAGCTTTTTTAAAGATTTATTTTTTGTTTTTGTTTTTGTTTTTTTTTTTGCGATCGATTGCAGCTGTTTAGACAGTATTCGAATCCCCCGTTTTTGGCACCATCAGTGGAGGAGCTTAGCCTTGAATCCGGGTAGTCGTAGCGTTGCTTTGACGAGGAAGCTATTAGTAGTGTCGGAGCCCGGATTGTTACCGTCGGTGGTGTTGCCTCGCGGACCCAAGGGTCATCGTTGGCTTGGTTCTCTGGCCGGTGTGTGTGCAGGTGGGGTGTGACGGAAGTTGTGTGAGAGGTCGAGTTTGGATGTTGATACTGTGGGTTTAGCGTTTGAGGTTTTCGTATTTTTGTTTGCTCCGTGACGCGGGAGGTCTATATCAGGTACGGTACAATAAAATATTGGTTTGGTAGATGTCTCGAGTTGGAGTTATCTTATTGACATTGCAGCATGTTGTTAGACTGGTGATCGCGACCACGGTTGCATAGCTTTTATTAGAATTGTGACGCAGTTTGAAAGATCTTTGTAAACGAGATGCAAACTGTGAGATGGGACAGGGCTTGCAGCCAACAAGCAACTGGAGGTGATCCATTTTTTTACCAGAAGAGAACAAAATTTTAGAAACACTATCCCGTGTTAGTGAACTGAACTGTTCCAAAATTTGAGAGAGGTCTTCAGTTGCGGAAGTGTTTGCGAAAGAAAATGGTGAAAAACATGTTACAGAAGCTTGGACCTCCTCGGCCGGTTGGTGATCTCTCCTTGGGGGAGAGGAAAACGAAAGCTCAAGGAGAATTCTCAGAGAGTCGCAATGGTTTCATGACATCTATCAAACCGGTGGTCAATTATTCAAATAGTTCTGGACTAGGATCGAGCAGTTCAGTGGATTTTGATTCGTCTTCATCAGATCAAGTTGATTTATGTTTCAAGCTGGGGGGTCTAGGTAGTGTAGACTTAGACCATGCAGGCCGAAGTTCAACATCAGGGTCATCAGTGCGCATCGTAGGAAGTCCAATGGATGCTCTACGGTTGAACATGGTTTCACCGCTTCGGAACCTCATTAGCCTTCTGAAGCCGCCACCTCCGCCAGAATCTAGTCTGCACGGTGGTTCATCGGGAACTCAAAGCTCACGAAGTTCAAGTGTAAGTGCCTCCGAGGTGGAGAATCTCTGTATGGGATCTTTGAAACATCTTACTCTCGGTTCAGTGGCAGAGAAAGTTCCACTAAGTATTGGTGCGGAAATTAGCAGCAGAAGCGTCACAAACAATTTGCACGAAACTCGACAGGAAGGCCAGAGCTTGGTAGTGGTTGCGTTCGACGGAAACGTGAGAGATATTTCCCATGCTGGTATCGTCTGGGCTATGGATAACATCCTCAACCGAGGCGATATTCTCGCCATTGTGTCCGTTTTGGGGACTGTAAAGGGACCATTAGGTTACAGAGTCAAGATAGGCGACGAGAAATGGTTGAAGGCAAATCATAAACTCGTGGAGGACGAAATTAGCCATAAGATGAAGATCTGGAAAGGTTTCCCAGGGTTGGAGTACAGATGCGAAGAAGGAGGAGTCAAGCTCGCAGTGATTGTGAAAGCAGCAAGCCGGCCAGAGGTTGCGATTTGCAACGAAGTCGCAAAGTTAGGTGCGAATCACGTGGTGCTTGACAAAAGCTTGAAGAACCGGCGCCGTGACTTCTACATGCAAAACTTGAACTGTAATGTGACAAGGATGCGGCGGAGTGGGGGTGTAGATGTGATTCGACCTAGTTTGGACATGGCTATGGCACTTAACCTGGTCCGCAAAGTGGAATCATCAGGAGCAAATCCACATCCTCCGAGCTCAGTGACGCCAGCGGTTCACGCTCCAGCATTGAGCTATGGCGATCAGATTGACGAGTTTGAGATCTCCTTGGGTGGTCGGAAAGTTATTAAAGCAATTCCGACCCAGAAGCCCTGTCCCCCTGCCGCGCTCTCTGTGGCATCATCAACATCCTCACATAGGCGTTCAAGCTCCGCGAGCGGTCCGTCTGTGCGACCCTCCACCACCTCGATTTCCAACGACACCGAGCGTCAAGACGTAGACGACGACCTCTTCAGCATCTTCCACGGATCCACTCGCGAACCCGACACAGATTTGTTCAGCTTTCGTGGAGCTGCAAGCCAGACTGAAGTCGACATAGATTTATTCAGCAATACCCAGCCAGGCTCATCCGGTTATGAGAGCGACGACCTATTCAGCATTGGAAACGCGTTGGCCAGACGCGCACCTTCAGCTCCAGGTGCCGTGGATGCCAGACAACAATCTGCCCGACGCTCCGTTCCAGATAGCATCATCAAAAATTCTCGACTGACCGCGGAATCAACATCTTCGATAAGTGAAATCGCAAATGTTTCCGAGCCTTTGCAGCAAGCCACCATTTCTAAAGTAACGTTTGTGCAAGGGTTAGGGGAAGCTGTGGAAATAAACGTCCGCAATGCACTTCGTCCGGGGGAAGGACTGTTGGTAGGTTCCTCACCATCAGCTCTGTTCCTAATGCACAATGAGCAGCAAAGAAGTTCCATAGCCACCGGTACGCCTGGTTCCTACATAGCCATGGAGGGCAGAATGGCGATGAAACTTGCCTTCCTGGAGTCGGATCAACGCGTCCTTGCTGTCGATACTCTCGGCCGCTGCAGAACGATTCCTGTGGAGAAGGCACTCACGCATCTGAAACCGCTGGTTCTAATCGAAGCGGAAGCCGAAGAGGGAAGACGAGTCAGCGTGATACTTCACCAGTCGGATTCCGTGTGTTTGTCAAAATCAGAATCTGGAGAGCTGGTATCTGTGAAGAGCCTGAAGATCGGCGACAATGTTCTGTTGCGATTAAGATCTGCGGAGCCATCTCACGCCATATGGTCCTGAGAGCTATAACGCAACCACTTCTCATTACATCTTCGCTGGATCTTCACATGGAATTTGATTCGTAGGAACCGTTTACCTGCGTCATCACCCGATCGGAGTTCCGCCCAGGATTGCAGAATTGCGCACCCGAGGTTGTATTTATATGAAACAGAAACATTTCACACCTCTACAATGCCACTGTAAATTTGCTGAAGAAACTACCAAGAATTAGACCAACGAATCCATTTCACGCATTTTTGGGCATCCGACCGTGAGGAGCCTCTTGGTAGACTGATTGCAGACTTCTATTGATGTACAATTTATGAAACAAAAAAAAAGCCCTTTGGTAAGCATGTTCGAATCCATTTGCCTGCTTCTGTACAATACCTATTCATAACCTTGTGGGAGAATGTGGAAATTTTGCATGCGAAACCTTTTGCAACAACAAGCTCATATTTGGCTCTACCGTCTTCGTGAATTGCAGCTTTCTGAAGCATTGCCTCGGATTTAACGACACTGCAAGGGCACGAAGTTTGCTCAAGTTGGGTCCTCAGTGAAGCGTGTGAATCTGAGGTTTTTGTCTATAACTTTGCATCTGGTGCGTCGTTCACATGTTGGCATGGGCTGTGTCGGTGATGCTTGTCGGTGTCGGAATCCTGCCCTCCACATCCATCCATCCATCTATCTACCTATCTATGTATCTAGAGCTGTAGGATTCCAACGATGGGAAGACGATTCCATGCTTCGGCTGTCTTCTTAGGTTCGATTTGTATACTTTTGTCTCACATCAGCGTATTCTGATCACAAAGTCTGTTACATGTGAAACTCATAAAGATATTGATTTTACTATTTCTAATCTGGTCTTAAATACGTGGTGGCATTGTTTGAAACAAATGTGACGTTTCTCACTTTTGTGGTGAAATTTTGTACACATTGTCGAATATTAAGGTGAAAATTTGTGCCTGTACATGACTGTATTTTTATGTGTATGTGTAAGACTAGTAGAAGTATTTGATGTTTTTGTGCAGCCGCATCAACTTCATTTCGTTTGCAATTCGTGGAAATAACTACTATACTGTCATTTAACCATCATGTGCAAACTATTCAATTATAATTTTAACAATTCTCAAATCTTACAATCAAAACTATTTCCCAAAAATTTGATGTTTCTTATTCCAAGTCATTATATTTTAGACTTGTGTTGTTGCAAACAAATTTATGTTTTGTGTACATTATTTTCACCAAAATGCCACAAATTTCCCTTATAACTTTAAGGTTTTAATTTTAATTTAATTTTTATGTAATATCATGGGCATTTCCTTTGAGTAAAATCTCACTTTTGTTTGTTGATCAAAAAAACTTGATGTCCATGATATTACATAAAAATTATAATGCCCATGATATTACAACAATTAACATTTATTATATTACCATGCTTTTCCTTAGAACTTTCGTAAGTTGCTTGTAATCTTAAAAAATAATTAGAAGTATGATTTTGTGATCTATTTGATTGCCACAGAACTATTACTTAAAAACTCAAATTTATTAATATTGTTTTGGATTAAATATATAATTGTAGAATCTAAACTTCTACGTTTTATAATACTATATGATGTCTTCTTTAAAACAGTAAAATAAATAAATAAATAAATAAAACTTAGAAGAGTAACAGTCTGGTTTTTAAACAATATATCTTCTATAAAATTCTCACTATATATATATATTATCCATATTAAAAATAAAAATAAAAAACATTTATGGTAAGAATATACAATTTTGAAAGTTTGAGATTGACTTCCCAAGGATTATTTGCAAAAATTGGCTCCAAAAAGTCATCTTTACAAATAAAAGGAGTCTTTTGTTTCCTAATTAAACAGATTGTTTTACTTTCTATTCAAGAACAAGGCTAATTTTCTATTGGTCTTCTTTGTACTTATTGCAAGTAATATTGAAAATTTTAAATGCAAAAAAATCAATCAATTCTTTTTGTTTTGATAGTTTTCTTAATCACTCTTTTTATGTATCATATATATATATATATATATATATATATATATTATTTGTGTCTTAAATTGCACAGTTTGGATGCTTTAAATCCACCACCAAAAGATCTATAATAAAAATATTTCATATGGATTATAATTTTTTTAGTATTAAAAAATAATTTAGAAAAAAATAAAATAAAGACAAGTAAAGAAGACAAATGCCACCTTCATGCATTTGTCTACGTCCATATTTTTGGATTTTGACTTGACATATTCTTCCATTTTTGCTCTTTATAATTCCAATGGTTACAAGAACTTGCTCTATAAGTTTTATTTTTTTTATTTTAAAGTTTTAAAAACATCATTGGATATATAAAAAAGTTGCTTATTCTAAAATGGTCAAACCCTCAAAAATTTATAATATTTTATAATATATCAAAATATAATGTTAAAAATTTGACTATTTTGACTTTTAACTTCATATATATATATATATATATATATATAGTTAAAAAGATTGAACAAATGTTGTATATATATATGTGTAATATTTTTATATCTAACATATTTTTACATCTAAAATATATAAATTATATATATAATCTTAGCAAGCACTAATATATTAGATATATTTAGAATGTAATTTTTATTTAATAAGATCATATTCATTTTTATGAATTTTATTTTAAATATACAAATAATATGTATAAATAAAAAGACAATGCACACCCTTGCCAAATTGTTCAATTTTATAATAGTAAAAATAAGGTTATAAAACCTAAAGATTCCAATATATGTAGTACACTAGGATTTCAACAACTAAGAAATATTTTCACTAGTTGGTTTGAAAGCCAAAGAATGAGGATACAAAATAAAATAATAGAATGAAATTAAACTTCCTTTGTGAAACGTCACTAAATTCTTTATTAAAACATAAAGAACATAGTCTTCTAAAAACAAATGGATACAATTTATAATTTTAAATATTTTTCAAACTTTTGCATGTTAAAGTAATTATTTGTTCTTACCACTCAATCCTAAAGTCCAAACATATATCTATATATCTATATAATCTCATTTTAAAATAATTATAAAAATGATTATATTAAGCATATTTATGAAGATTAGAAATAACATAAATTTATTATTTAATTATTTTATATAATTACAATAAAGCTTTTAATTTATTAGATCTAATATTCAAACATTATTTTAAAAATTACATCTAATTTTAAGCTTTTAAAGATCTTAATGAAGTATAATTTATATGCTACTCTTGTAACAACAATTCTTTTTGATCCAAGTGCTTAAAAAGTCCTAGTTGCATAAAAGAATTGGTTGCTAGAATATCATATAAATTTTTATTTATCCATACATAACTATTTTTAAAAGGTAATGTTTTGTTTTCTTTGCTAATAATTATCTTCTTGTCTCTTTCATTCATGTTGTAAAAGAAAAAGAGGACTTTTGTTATAGTAAGTAACAAACGACCAGATGTTGTAACTTTTGTTTTCATATCTCTAAAACTTTATGAAAGTTACTTTGGAGCCTACAAATGCTAATACCACATAAAGTTAGTTGTTTTTTCTTTTCCAATTTTTAAAAATTTTGTTAGTATCAACTCCTATTAGCTTGATCAATTTAAAGAATAAATTATACTTAAGTTTAGGATCACAGAAAACTACTAGAAATGTATTTTCTCATCGTCTTATTTTTAATCTTTATTCAAACTTTACAAAAGTGATAATGCAGTTTTTTTAGAAAAACCATAAAATTTGTATTCCATTTGACAAACTGTTCCTAAAATATTAACAAAATATTTAAACTATGACCTTGGAATATCCAAAAACATCTAAAAAATTATCTAAAATTATTCTTCACACTTTCTAAGTGGTGTCATTGTGAACAAACATAGATCACATTACAATATTCATAAAGGCATGAAATAAGGTCCTTGCAACCAAAGCTTCAAGTTGGACTTAGGAATGGCTTCAGATTGATACTAAAGTAATAAAAAATAAAAAAAAGATGTTTTACTTTATTCTAAAAAAAATCCAATAGCAGTATTATTTTTACTTCAATTCTTTTCCAAATCATGAAGGATGCAAGTTTGAACTTTAAACATGAATGACAAATTAAAACTTTAAAAATAATTTAAAAAAAATAATAACATCAAAATAGTATTTAAGATTAATTCTTTAATAAAAAAAGAAAAAAAGAAGATAGCAAATGGATATATATATATACATATATACATTTTAAATCTTAATATTGTCTCTGTTTACATTGATTTAATTTTTTTTACTTTTATATATTTTTAATTTTTCAAAGTTTTATGTAGCTTACTACACATGCTATTAGTGTTATTTTATTATTACAATTATAATAAGTTACAATATCAAAGTTTCAATGTAATTCTCTTACAGATTTTTAAAATATTTTTCAAGACACTAATGCCACTATAATCTTTATTAGTTGACATGTAACACAATGCTGTAAAATTTGAGAGCTGAGTATAAAATAAAATAACGTTCCAACAATACACCGCCACTCTACTTTTGAGACAAATCACCTTCAAATAAATGAAAGAAATCATCTTCAAATAAATTGCCACAATGGACGGGTGCTGGAGGGTAATACCAACGTCATACCAAAACTTCCAGCACCATTAACAATAGCATCAGCATGTTGACCTAGATTAATCGGTGCATCAAGTCACATTAAATCAGGCTGCTAAGAGTGCCCACAAAGAGCTTCAATATTGTACAATTCTACCATTGTAAGGTAAGTTTGGGGCAGTTGCTGCCATTTAATGTTTCTTCCTAAAAGGGTAAATGTCGAATGATCAAATTTCCTGATGTACATACAAGTTGAAAGGTGGCTTACAATAGGATAGTCCATACTGCAGGCATCACCCATCACTATTCGTACTCATCATAATAATCCTCTTCGTCATATGGGGCCGACTCCTCGAAGTGGGCTTCCTCATCCTCATCATAAACTTCCTCCTCTTCGACGTCTTTCTCTTCCACCTTCTCTTCTACTTTCTCTTCTACTTTCTCTTCTACTTTCTCACGCTCCATCACCACGGTTATCTCTTCCTTGGCTTCTACGTTAGGCACCTGCATAAGCAAAAGAAACTTACGCAAATTAATAGCTCAACTTAGTTTTCAAAGCACATGATCATCTGTCAAATTTGTCCAATTTGTGGGCTTTCTGTTTTAATTACTGGGAACAACCTCTTAATGCTTACTTCCATATCACTGCTTTCAAGAGGGAGGAAAGTGATTGCTTCAATTAAAACCTACAGTCCCAAAAAGTATGAAGCAGAGGGGCATGCAAAGGTCAACTTCACTCCAATTGTCAACAGGTCATAAAAGTTCACAAGGTGCAACAAGCCTACTAACTCTCGCCTTTTTGTTAAGTAACATACCGTACTCAATTCCTTCGATTAAGCAATTATCGAACTGCATTGTCAAAGCAATTCGAAAATCAAATATAACTAGATAAGAGAAAAGAAAAAGAAAACATTTCAAACCTGCTCAGTCAGATCGTCTTCAAAAGTCACCTTGCGCTGACGCTTGTTTTCTCTATCATCTGTAGCTTCCTCTTTAGCTTGCTGTTTCTCCTTCTCGGGGTTCTGGAAAAGAAATAAATACATCAGAACCATTTAATACGAAATATTCCTAACTCAACTTCTCAACATTCTCAACTATGATTTGGGAAAGTACAAATACGGTAGGTTGTCTTATAAGAGTCAAGAACGAAATTATTGCACCAGACAAATCACTTCAAGAACAAGTGATAGGACATACGTCTGCATCGAAAAGGTTTGCAAGTACAGAATAGTTCACTTTAGAGCTCAGCTTCTGCAGGCAAGCACAAAAAGTCCCACTTCAAAAATTAGGGTTATGTCAGAAAAATTCTAAGCACCAACAAGAAACTGCTCTGTTTAACCTACACCGAAGAGACATGGCAACATATGATTTGACAATCTGCTTAGACGTTTGAGAGTTGAAATCACTGTGCAGAAAACAAATCAGCGTGTACATCGGTCTCTTTGAGACCGATACGCTATCATCCTCTCCATACTGCACCGAACAGTCAATAACAGCCACTACATCCTGCAATGACTGGGCACAAGGAACTTGGACTAATTGATACCTTGCTTACAAGCATATGACGAGCTGCATCAGCGGCTGAATCTGCAGGTGGCCTGTTTGCTTCATCTTGTCTCTTTTGCTTACGATCCTGCAGAGAAACAAAACCAGCTTCCACAATGTGCCGCTAAGTACTGTCTGTGTTAAAACCTCCACTTTATCCCTCACTTTTTGCAATCGAAAATATCGAGACAAAAAGAAATGTATCTTCACCAACCTTCCTTAATTTAGCAACTGCCGCGGCTGCAGCTGCAGCTAACTCCGCTGCGCTGGCAGAGTTTGTGGCAGCTGCTTCAAATGCTGCGATTCGCGCTTTTTCACTGGCCTCGATGGCTGCTCGTTTTTGTTCTTGCTCCTGAATGCAATCAGACGAACGATAAGACATGTTACATATACTGCTCAAAAGTCAGAAATGGAGCTAAACAGTAAGCCTAAAACATCTACATTCAAGGATAACATGAACGTAGAGATAAAAAAATTATCTGACCACGGTTACTTCTCACCAAACCCAGTATACATGAATAAAAGTACTAGTACAAATAAGAACATGCATAATACTCGTGATAAATCGAATTGAACTATAACAGGATGTTTGGATAGGATGTAACCTCCAAATACTCTTTATTCATTTCTGTCCAAATGATTGTCTTGAGCCTGACTTCCTCGTCGTTGTGAAGATAGCCTTTCACCTGCACTCGAAGTCCAGAATTTCAATGTGGGGCAGGAACCAGTGCTCTTGATCACAATGCGGATTTTAAAGCAGACAACACAGAAGAACCCGAGCTTAACCTTACCAAGCCAATGTATAAAGAAGAAGGATATTCAACATCAAGTCACTAGAGGCAACTAATCTCATTTAATTTTGCAAACCCGGAGAAGGGAAAGTAAACCTCATCGTCATCAATGTCGGAGAGCGTCTCATTGTCATCTTCATCCTCAACACACGCTTCTCCATCTTCTGCTGTAGCTTCCGCTTTCTTTACATCTCCCTCTCTCTCGTCAACTCCCGCAGAATCGATTAAGCCACTGTCCTCTCCTGCCTCATTTAGAGCTACTCGGATTTCCAACTGCCTCTTCTGGAGCACAGGCTCTGAATCATCAATCAGGGATGCAATGTCTGTCGCCACTTCACTGATAAATTCGGCAACCCCTTTCCTGTCTTGCGATTCCTGTGTAGCTTCAGAGGCCTCAGCCGCTCCCCTGGCTATCTCCTTCAATTTAGGTTTTCTCTGAGAAGAGGGCGAACCAGAAGCCAAGGAGTGAGGGTCATCAGTCCCTTCATGTAATACAACTTCTTTTCCTCTCCCTCGGCCTCGTCTTTCATAGGTCTTAATAGCAGTTGGATCATCATTCCCTTCCCAAAGCACCAAAGCTTTCTCATCCTCCTTCTTCTTAGCCTCCAGCAACCGCTTCTGTTCAGCACGTTTGAAGGCAGGTGGGTGGGAGCCACCTGTCATACCCCCTGAGACTTTAACGAACTGCATCATAAATAGTGTGTAAGGAAGGTATCGTGCAAAGCAAAATCTTTTGAACAGACGGAGTGAAAGAAAAAGCAGCCACTAGTTCTAGCAAATCACATGTGAAATAAAAAATGTGATGATTGAAACTCGAAACCTTTGTACGTATCCCATACTACTTCATCAAATCAGAGGCGTAACGAACATTCAAAAAATCTAAATATATGACTAGAGCATTATCATGAATCAGCATGTAGAACCGTGGTCAAAAACAAAGGTGGAGGAATTGAAAATAAGGAAACAACAATCCTAAGCTAGAGTCCTTTTGGAGTGAAAAGCATGAAAACAAGTAAGATGTTTATTCACCTCATCGTAACAACCACGGCAAAGACCATGCGCAAAATGCACAACACCCATGTCTTTATGCTCACACATAATTGTGGTGGTCCCTTTGCCTTCAATCTGCGGGCTTACAAGGCCTACTCTGATCTGCAAATCAATCTCCTTCGCTTTCATATCGAACTCCTCAGCCTGTGATACAGGGAGCTTATAAGGAATAGCAGTCAAAGAGATAATTATTCAAATATCAAATCAGGTATCACCATCGTCCTATTAGTAGTTTGACCTATTCATGTATTTACTTTCTACTTTCTACCTTACTACTGAGAAATAAGTGTACTACATTGTTCATCCGTTATCTAAGGGTCTGATTAGCTATGAAATCATGATGTATCGAAGGTGAAGTCATTTACAACTTCAACATACCGTTAAGCTGCCGGATTCCGTTTGCTCAAATTCGACCAACCTCTTCTTAAGAGTTGCCTCACAAATGTGCACCACACTTACCTGAGAATCATGCTATCAACCGTGAGGACAATACGAGGCAGATGCGTACTGTAAACTACAAAGATTGAACAACACACATATTCTACCTTGTCTTCATATCAGGCTCAAAATATCCTTGTAAGTTTAAGAAATTATATCGCCCATGATGCTACGAATTGCAGGCAACCCTAAGGTCAAACATATTCTGCTCAATCGAACTGTACCTGAGGACGCAAACGATGTATTCGATAAAACTAAAATCTCCATGCCTAAGATACATACCACATCAGCTTTTGAACGCTCAAACCCATGAATATGTGCTGCTATGAAAAGCGCAGCTCCGCAAACACCACTTGGTCGTCTTCCTGTCTGCAAATCCAATTTCATGTCATCAAGGAACATGGTCGAATAATTAAAATATATAAAAAGCAGATTACATCTAGATAATCAGTAGCACTATTGTAAACATTCAGTTCCTAGATCATCCGCTGCACAGAAGCTTGATAACAACCGCTAACAGGGGAAAAAATAGCACCTGCATCCAATCTCTCTTCATACTGGCAACAAGGCGCAAAGCAGAGTTGGCAACTGCATGCATCTTCTTTCCAAATTGCAATCCTGTAGGAACAACCTTGACATCTAAATTTCAAAATCTTCTGAGCTGTACAACTAAGAATGTATAAAGTCTAACAACCATCCGCTGTGTGTAGTTTAAAAAAATTACTTGAAAAAAACCTTAACGGGAAAACCTCTGAAAACAACACTGAACAACAACAAAACAGTCAACTCCGCAGCAAAAAAAGAGGACACGCCATCTGAAACATCGAAATCTTATCTCTCTGATAAGGAAGTTGCTGGGCTGGTAACTAGTTAGCAACGCTCAAGAAGACACTAGCAATCCGCTATGATCTAGAGGAGAGATATGAACATGGGGTTTAAAGTCCATTAGGAACTATTCAAAAGGAAAAGGAACCCACGATCAGCAAATCGATGTATAAATAAACTAGGATCGACAGGTCTTTGCATGATGGGGTGCTGCTCCAGACGCAATAGTTGACATAACTGCAAAAATACTGCTCCTAATACATACCTGCGTTGACACCACACCACAAAACCCTTTTTAAAACCTTTAACACGTAGCATCAAAAATGCAATCCACTAATTCAAAAGCTGACTGCTTTCGGCATGGTATTTAACAATCATTTGTGGGTAGATGTCAAGTGCAAAACCCATGTTATTCTTCGTTGCAAATGTCCATCATTACAAAATTGGCACGTTAGGTGTCAAACAGAGTAGAGTGGATTGGTGCTCGTACACGTTGGTCTGCAAAGAGTCGGAGAAGTCAATGAGCATGTAAGGTTTGTTCTCTTGCCTGCACTCAAACGTCAAACTTATATAACATCCAAATCATGCATGATGATTGAAGCACACTAACGAATGCATCTCAATCCAAATTGTCCCCTGGTAGGAAACACAATTTCGGTATACATCAATAAGAACAAGTTTATAAAGCAGCCCCACAAGTGCGAGAGCTTCAGCAAAAATTATGCTGAAGCTGCGGCCTACAATAAAATGATCGCACTAAATTTAGCTACAAAATATATCTTCACGTTAGACAGAACATCACCCATTCGATAAGTAAAAGTGTGTGTTACCGGCATACAATGTATAAGCATGCCCCAGCTACTCGGGGCGTTGGTCGACCTCTAGTGAAATTACGCTCGACTGCAATCTGCACGAAGCATAGGTGAGGAAATGAACACCATTTTGTGCCAAAAAATTAGGCACATTCGTCTCACCGTAAGAACAAAGGCCCGTACACGAATGGAAGCCGAAACAAACAACCAAGTTTGGAACACCCACATAATTTCCACTACAAAAATGGTATGAATGCGAATAGAAGTTCTAGCCCAGTCCTTAGCAAAGTAAAAGATGTATAAAAAATTTTGAGCCAACCGTGTAGAAACGATGTGCAGCTTGCACTATGTCATCTCGTGGTCGTATGGAGAGTCGCTCCGCAATTTCTCGTATTTCGTTCTTGCCTGCATACCCACGATATCACTAAGAAATCAGATGCACTGATACATTTTAATGACACGAGCGGGTATAATCATGCATAATGTCCATCACAATCAGCTTCTGTAAAAGAGAAAGAGCTCACCGTAAAAATTTTAATAAAACTGATGAACACACAAACCATCATGTTCTGGCTTCTCCTACAGCAACTTCAGGTTAAGCAAGAGCTAGATAATTGAACCGAAAGCATAGATTTCCCAGTGCAGAACAAACCCGTTCCCAAACGCAATACACACTGCTACTAAAGAAAGGTCTTCAATAAGTGCAACCTTTATTGAGAGTCTTCTCATGTGAATCGGATTGAAAGCCAAGAACACGCCCTTGCGCACCAGCTAACCGTATCATGCTGGTCTGCCCGCTGCGTATGAAATTCCCTTCTGCTTGACTCTAAACCCTCAACAGGATATCAATGCAACAGAATCAACACGCATACTATCATCCCACCGTCTCCCTCTCTCCCTCTCCATCCTCGATTGCACGAGTAGTAATGTAGGTGAAGATGACCCCATCAACCAAAATATTTTTGACAAAATGCTGATAAAAGTTGAAAAAAAAAACAAAGGCGGTGCAGTTGACACAAGCAGACAACCCAAAACCGGCGATGAAAACAAAATCCAAACCAAACCCTAGGAGACGTAACCTCAACCGACAAGAAAACAAACAATTAAACAAGAGAGTAGGACAAGTGTTCGTACCGAGCCATCGGCGCCCTTAGTAAATGTGACCTCAGTGGAGTAAGAGTCATCGGCCAGCACGCGCCCACATCCCATACAACATCTGCAAACAAGCAAAGATTCCTCACCAAATTCATAACCCTCTTCATACTCGCCATACTCGTCACCCAGAATCACCAGCCCTAAACCCACAACACCACATCCCAATTCAGCTGCTGGAAAACAATCAATTGCAAGAGAGGAGGGAACACTAACGTGAAGCCATTGATGTCGTCTCGCTCGGCCTCTTGGTCCTTCGCGCAGTAGCTGCACCACACCATTGCTTCTGGAGCTCGCTAAATTGGCTGCCACTAGAATCTCATCGTCAGCACGTCCAAGACAGGAAAAGATGATGAGGCGACGTCTTATTCTTCTCATGGGGAAGCAGAAAGCGGGAGCTAGAAGGCACAAGACAAAAGACTAGGACTGGCTTCCTGAAGATGCACTTGCTCCGTCCACGGCGAGAATTTTGTATTCTCGTCGCTGTCCCCTCAACACCATCATCTCTCACAGTCTCCTCGCTCTCTCTGTTATAGTTAATTGGGATGGATTAGAGCGATTTAATGTTTATTCGATTAGATCGGAGGGTGCTTATTGTTCCACTGGAAAAATCATCCGGTGGCTTTTTCATTGAATTATTTGCTTGGCATGTAAATTAAGTAAATGGTTACATTTCATGCGCTTGTTAATACCTCTCAGAATCGAGCGAGATGCTTTTTTTGGAACTTCGAAGAACGTTCCGCAATGATCTCATCATAGGGGGGGAAATCTTCCATAAAAGCAATTAAGTTCACTTGAATCGTTGTGTCTCATGGTTTAAGGATTTGCGTAGTTTGGTGCTGAGGAAATAAATTATTTTAGATTGCTGTTTTGTACTTTTACTTGATATTTTACCAGATACTTGCTTTTCGTTTAACAACAGTTTAGTGTTGGGGTTTTTTCGTTTTAGACACACAGCTATTTATGCATGTCTTTCATATTCTGGTGCTCTCTGACCACACTTGGTAAAAATCAGATAAGTATAAATACTTACGATTAATAGTTTCCTAGTTTACCTCAAATTTCGGTAGTTGACACAACTGGGGCAGAATCGCATGGTGTAAGTGGGGCTGGCCCCCAATACTTGTCCGAATTGGTAATCCACATCATTTGGGTTTCGTGTAATTTCTAAATTCAAGTAATTCTGGTGAATGAGTTTACTGACTTAACAATGCCAAAATTATGTGAAAGTTAAACACGAAGATACACAATACAAACTAGCGACAACAATGACACATTCGCTCAACATTGAAAGCACGTCATCAATGTGTAATAGGTGAATAAACTCTAGAATCCATAAGGTATCCAGGAGGAATTTGTCTTCTAATAGTTTCTACCATCGGAAGGACGAAAACCACCCAGAAGTAAAGTTGCTGATCAAACATCTTACATTACAACTTCAAATGCCAGTTGGACTTAATTTATAGTTCTGTCTAAACCGTAAACCTAGACCCAGTTCTGGGTCACGGATTTAAACTGCGATTCTCTACCTAAGAATCAATACAACACTAAAATGCTTGGTTATTTTAACCGTTGCTTGGTCTAACTCAACGCGTTTTAAGACGAGTGGTTTTAACCATGCTTCCGTTCGTCGTACCCTATGCATATGGACACCAGCTAATCTACTATGTTTCGATTGTGTATTAGAATGGTCATTGACCGTTGCAGAAAGCTGGTTGATGTGTCTAATCATAGTTCATCCTTCATATTTTCTGCACACTTCTTTGTAGCTTTGGACTTACCAGATTTTTGCAGTGTAAATGGGATAGCTGCATTCTTTTTAATAAATTGATAGAAACCTTTCACTGTTCTGTCACCCTCGAATGTGATCTGCATTGTCAAGCATTGCAACTCTAAGTAATGAAGTTCTAATTTACAAACATAGCTTCAAGGTTATCAGGTCCTGAAGAACATTCACTGCATGATTCTGAACTGTTCCAATCTCATGCAAGGTTCAGCACTGAGCAATAAATTCCTCGCTCAGGAGAAAAGGATAGAAAGACGCACTGGCTCAAAGCTCTTCTTCCCAGCTGGAAAGAAAAGAATAGTCGGATAGCCATCGGGCTGAAGAAAACAACAAGACATCAGTGTCAGTTGATAGTAGACTTAGAGTTCAAAAGAGTTCGAACAATATTGGCAGGTCAAAAACAACACTGATTTAATTAAATTGATACTCCGAACATCACACAAGGGCCCACCTTTGCACGAGGATGTTCGTTTGTTAGCCCATCCATCTTCACAATTGAAATAGAGGGAATGTCTCTCAACCGCTTGGCTAGTTTCTTGTATGTTGGTTCCAACTCCTGACAATAATTGCACCCAGGAGCATACAGCTGGGAAGAAAAAGAACATCAGTAAATGAGATTGAATCCAGAAGTGATAAGACTACACATGTTTAAGCAGCAGTTTAGCAAAGAAAACGAGAAAATAAAGAACAAACCAAAACAAAACAAAACAAAACAAAGCTACAGAAAAAACTCCTGGCATTACATGGTAGACTATCCAGTAGTCCCATTCATCACCTCCAGCTCAGGACAAAGAGGGTCAACAACATAAGTTGGCACGTAAAAAGAGGACATAAGAGGATGATACAATGAAGAGTTGTTACTGAGGTCCTGCAATTCTGATGCTTAAAGATTACCTCAAGAAGGGTATCCTTAGATTCATCAAGAACTACCTCCTCGAAGTTTTTGCCAACGGCTATCTTCACATCTTCATTGTTCTGCATGCATTCAGACATGAGGATCTAAATATGCAAATAACAGAATACTATCGCACGATTTCATAAACTGCTTTACAGAGGAGACACATGAAGACTAGCGTCTGCGCATAGAATTGTAACGGAATTTGAAAACATTAGAACTTTCAAAACAGATGGGAGAAAAAATTAAGCAATGTAAGCTTAATTCACATACTGGCGCACAAGACAAAATGTAATAGTGGCAATCACAGAGGGATACGTCACCAGTTCAGGGATTGGTTCCGACTTGTAATAAGGTGGCAAAGTGTTTGCTAGAAAACCTTCCACAAAACCCTGCAAAGAAACTTAGAAGATGAGTACCCCCAGACTACAAGCTTGAAGGACGTGAAAATATTCATGCATCAAAGATCCAATGCATGTGAATACACCTTGACTCCTGTAACAGTGAATTCGCCTTCGTACAAGTACTTGGGACCTTCCTCAACCGACACATATGCCATTATCTGCAGCATATCCAAAAGAATAGTGGTAACAGTCCGTCAGCAGTCATCTTTGAGTTAAACAAAATGCAGCATCAGTGGTTCAAACGTGCATTTCGTAGAACAAACGTCCCATGCAACCCTTATAACCCAGATAAGCTGCACATGTCAACTAGTACGAGTTCTTTACACAAATAAGAGAAGAGGCTAAAATCATTTCTATCCTGTCTATCAATATATTTAATGCACAAAGCACATGATGTTTCAATATTTTCAATATAATATTCAAGTTAATACTGCCACCTCATTGGACCTACCTCTTATTAACTTGTAGAAAGATGAACCCAATGACGTACTTCAGATTTAAAATGACTATCACTCGAAACTGCAACTCTATGCCTTTAGACAACAGCAGGGTACGACATATTACTATGATAGGATTTTCCCCCGAAATGCCAAAATATTGAGCAGCTTGCTGCCCTTCCTTGTCGGCCAGATTGGCACGTATAAACAACGTCTGCATCACACGGCATAGGAATTCTAACTTAGTTCAAAAACAAGCAACTTAATACTTTTCTGTGAATTTTAGAATGCGTTTTACGAAGTGTGCTTCATACACAAAAAAAAAAAAAAAAAAAAAAAAAAAAAAAAAAAAAAGGGTAGTGAAAACCATGATTTATAAGCTCGAACAAGAATTAGGTGAGACTACTATACCTGCCCTCTGAACATTCTTGCAACTTTCTCGAAAACTGATTGAGCAACACCCCAATGCTCCTCACCATTAATAAAGCAAATGACCTGGTGTAGGTAACCCATCATATAATTGTTGTCAAAAGTTAAGCAACATCATGTATGTCTTCGTGAACAACAGCAACATTACTACTAGTTAACTACCAACCACAGTATATCACAGTAAAAGCAAGTAAAATGTCTGCATTCAAATCAGCAAAGAAATAGTAAGAAGGAGAGTTTCGAATCCTTCGATAAGCAGGATAGCCTTCATACTTGATTTTTGATGACATTCTCAAAGACTAACTTGATTGATTCTTCTTTGTAGTAGATCACAAGAGGCAGTTTATTTGCCGACACAAATTCGTAAAGTGGTTTCCTTTTGAAATCATCCTCTGCAACACAAATTACGACGTGCTTAAAGTGTAACATGCAAATCACACTTACATACCAATTCCGCAGAGGACAGGATGCGAAACAAGTTACAACCAAGAACTCAAATGTGATGTTTTGAATGTTCAGTAATCACCATAGACTAAACGTTTATCCGGAACGTTCTTTAAAAGAACCAAAGCAGGTTTGGATTCAGTCCCAAGTCCAAGCATAGCAGCCACATCAGCATCGTTAGTCATGTAGAATTTAACGTTTTCTTCCTGCCTTGCTGCAGATGTCAATTCCTCCACATCAGCACCCTACAGAACAGAAACATTTCACTTGTCAATTGCCACAGTTTGTAGTTCGCAAATATTTCTGGTGAACGGACAAGCTCACTCTACACGACCTAATGTGAGTTCAGCATTTTTATCTAATGTTAAAATGTAGAATCAATAAGGGACCAAACAAGTAGATGAACTTGGGTATTAGATTGGTCTAATGGTTACAATTAAATCTGGGGATTTATCCGTATGTCAGAAATCTACAAAAAAATGGTTTTTTGTATTCTTTGACTGTAGAATACTCGTTGTTATAACAAGAGAGTGTTTTAAATAAGAACATCAGAAGCACACCCTATATAAAGACATAAGATCCACCATCAGATTACTGTCACATACATAATATCTTGCTTATGGTGAGAATGAATATTACGTCATTAAAATGACAAAAGGTACAATTAAGACCAACTATAAGACACGGAGCTGAGATGAATTAAAATTACCTCCAAGTTGTCAATATATGCAATTGCGATTGGCGACTTAGGTTCCAACAAAGCCTCAACATCAGATTTTGACGTTAGTGGTATAACAGTTACATTCATCTTCTTATTCACATGTTGTATGATGGCGTCCCTGCAACAGAAAAAGCGTGATCATGTTATGTAAATAACCTTTCACGCGAAACGAAACAATAGAAATACTAGCTACGCAGTTCTTTGATTTCCGGGTCAAATGAAATGTGCTGAGTGAAATCTTGTGTATGCTATACAAAAGTTCAAAATAAGTTTTCAAATTCTCGAACACCGCGGCAATCTCCCAAGTCCAGCCGTTTCAAAAAGCAAAACCTCTTTTTTTCGAAAGATCATACATTCTGAATCTTACACTCAAACCCTTACAGTCGTAGTAGAGATTGTATCATGCGAGTTTCTCTGCATAACATTTCCTCTTTTAAAGAAACTCGAATCCCCTACCCTACTACCAAACAAGCAGAACACTCAGTAGTCGCTTCTGAGAAGCCATCCAAAACATGGCTCCAAGAAAGAAACTCTACTCCTCCCATTGAATGCTTGCACTAACGCCATTCCCGTGGCAGCTCAATGCCTAGAGTTGAAAAGAATCTCCATTGTTGCTCTCCAGGGTTTATTGAACAAGAAAACCTATGCCCTAATGTGAGTTTAGCTCGCTTGTGTGTGAGCTTCTTACGATGCAGAAAGTATAGAAATTCATACGCAATTACGTTAGAGCGCAGTAAGAGATAGAACTCAAATCGAAAAACTGTAGCTCAAGATTTTTTAGAGCTGCAAAAAATTCTTAGAGGTCGGTAAAGAAGTTGGACAAGATCGACTCACTTCGCCCGCTCGCCGGAGTAAGGCGTCGGCACGCCATCGATGAAGAAGAACAACGTAGGGTAACCAGTCACGCCAAACTTGTCACTAATTTCTGGATGCGCGGTTGCGTCGACCTTCGCCACAGGAACGCGCCGCTTCAGAGCGGTGGCCGCTGCGGCCCACTCAGGTGCCAATTCCTGACAATGTCCGCACCAAGGTGCATAAAATTCTACCATAACATATGGTTCCTTCGTTACAAACGCCGTGAAGTTGTGCGACCCAAGCACAACAACATCTGTTTCGTCAATCCCCTTCCAGCCCTGATCCTCCCCATCTTCTCCTTCCTCGTCTTCTTCCTCTTCGTCATCGTCCTCTTCATCCTCACCATTCCCATGGTCCACATTCTCATCTCCATCGGTTGCGTCATATCCTTCATAGCCCTCCCCCTCTTCCTCCCCGATGGAGTCTACCACTTCCTCGAGACCCGAATCTCCACCACTTTCCCTCGATTCTGCAGTGATTTGGCTCAAATTTGATATCACAAGAAGAAACAGAAACGATAGGAGGCAGATCACGAGCTCGCGCCGATGTTTTGACGCCATCGCTCAGAGGATCTGCAATACAGCAAGGTGATAATCTGTGAAAATCCAGAGAGCACAGCAGAGTTTCACAATCAAAATAAGCAGCTCCCCAATGAATGGAGCGAAGGTACATCCTCGAATTCTCCACAGCGCATACATCCAACGACTTCGCACACAGTTCCTGATCTCAACTGACCCTTATGATACTAAAAATAGTACCCCCACTTCTTCCTCGGAAATTCCCATAAATCACTCATGTAACTGGAGCGATTTTCTTGTGATTTTGTTGACAAGACTGAGATCGGAGTCTGCTGATGGCAATAACGCCGTACAATGGAACAGGGTTTGCTCCAACCGCGTGCTTGACATTCACTTTCTACTGCAGCCGATATAAGTGAGTGGAAAGTCGTAATTAGCAGCCACCGTCGTTATCAATCAAGTTGAAGCTCACATGACGAGATTTGATGGAAAACATGTGCAACATTCAAGTGTATCAAGTCTTGAAATTGATATGCAAGGGCAAGGTTCGTGAACTCCCTTAAAAAAGTCATAAACCGTTACCTCAAAGGAACCATGCATTTCTCCATCGGATTTAGGGGAAAGTGAAGAGAGAGAGAATGCAAGCAATCCGTAAGAGAAATCGATGATCGCTGTGATGAGGCGATTTCATATTCATAATAAGAGGCATAAAAAAGCAATGCCATTGATTTCGACAGATTGGAGCTCGACAAGCGAAGCTCTGCAACTACATCACTACCCCGCCCATTTACTGTATCTACATAAAATAATATCGAAAGCAAGGAGCTATGGAGTTTTTACAAAAATCCATGCCTCGACTTATTAAACGACTCCACCCAAATATTTACCTGACTGCGCAGTCTATACCTTTCTACTTAACACCCAACCAGACAACTCGAGAAATTTGAACACTATGTACAGAACTACATACAAAACTATGAACTACAGCTTTGATTCCTCAAAGCCAATCATCATCTCTATCTCACGTAAGCTCCAGCATTGGTGCACAGAAGTCATTTAATCAACGAAAAAATGCCTTGCATGTCAAATCCCTTTGGAATCTTTCATAATTGCTTGAATTGACGGGATCGTTTCTTCTTATTCCGCAGCTGCCTGAGCTCATCTCTCAGCTTCGCAGCGTCACTATACCGCTCCTCCACAGCAGCCATCATCATGCTTCTCACTAGTACAAATTCTTCGGCTGCAGCGCATGGAGATGAATCAGGTCTATCAAGGTTGGTCATGGTGAGGGATCCGGAAGACCGCAAAGCACGAGATGGCAGCTTCACGGGCTCATCAACCACGAACACGCCATCTCCCTCCGCAAGCCACTTGTTCACCTGGATAGGCACTTTGCATCGCACAGCCAAATTGATAGCGTCCGAAGGGCGAAGGTCCAAGCTCACGACCTCTCCACACTCATCTCCCACTTTGCTCAGGTAAACGCGTGCATAGTAGGCTTCGTGCACTCGACGCGTAACTCGCACCATCTTGGGCTGGTACCCCATCACCTCAATCATGTTCTTCATCACGTGGTATACCGTAGGACGAATAGCAGGGACGTTCCGAATACCCTCAATAAGCATTGTGCAAGGGAGCTCCAGAACAATAATGGGAAGCAGGAGTTTGGATCCTTTGTTCAATTGAAGAACAATTGCAGGCTGAGGGCCGTACTCTGGAAGATGACCCGAATCCGGCGTGTTGTGCTCACATTTGAGGGTTCGCCCGTCTCGCATTTTAATGATGAAGCCCTCAGGCCCGCTCTTGACCTCCAAAGCTTCCAGCACAGTAGAGTCCACATAGTCCTCGTCATTTTCACTGAATGGCTGGTCGATCGGGAGGCCGTTGTCAAATGACCTGCTGGAGTAGCATTTCTGCGACGCCTTTCGCTCTTGGCAAATTCCGGATCCAAAAGGTGCGAGAGCAATAGAGTTCGGCTGGATGAGTTTGCTATTTTTAACATTAGGACCTCGTAGTGCCACGGAAGCAGTTGCGGATTTATGGTGTAGAGACACGGGGCAGTGAGTGAGGAGAACCGTGAGAGCTGCTGTTGACATTGCCGTCGCCATCGTAAAAACAGAGTCGTGCCACAAGAAGCGCACTGCACGATCTGCACAATCTAACAGCAGACAGTGACCTGTTCAACCTGCACACGCACCCATGAAGACAGATCAACATTTGGAGACAGTGTAGCAATTAGAAGGTTGTTTGGAACACACCGTCTCTTGCCTCGTTGTGGATGAGAACACGCCGTCTACATGCATTAATCGTAATTTGCAAACACGAAACTCTGAAGACTATGTACAACGACCCAGGCACTCGTTAAAATTAAAAACATCACAAACCCTCACACATGATACGAGACAGCACACACAGAAGACGCCGGAGATGATGTAAGTTGGAACAATACAGTACGAGGAACAATAAGTAAGACAACTCCGGTATGTGTGACTGCGTTAGACATGACAAGCATAGTTTAACTCAAGAGTAATGGAAGATTGGTTCATAGAAAAGCAAAATGCAAGGCTACAATCCAGTGTAATAAGTCCAAGAACGGCAGCAAACATCCAAATTTTGCACGAACATTCGCTACGGCATTAGGAAGCCGAGGTCGAAGCGTCCTAGTAACGAAACAGAACGGCGTCCCAGTACCTTCACGCACGAAATTCCTGACCACCCAGGCCCGCCTCTTCACAGCGTTCGTAAAACTCATAAACCTATGGTTCCAGAGAAAGGCAACATGCACTACTCCAAACATATAAACAAGTTTTCAGCTCGAAAAGCTTCATGCGTCAAGGGAGAATAGAACCGCAGAATAAAGTACAGAGGCCTAATAACACACCTTCGCGATACTTTACCAAGAAAACCCAACTAGAATGTCATTGAAATTTCAACAGAAAAATAAAATAAAACAGGGAGCTTCGGCAACACGCTCACGCCCAAACACCGGAAAAAACTTCAGACAGAGGAAAAAAAAAACACCCAAACACAGAGCATCTGATTCTCCACAGATCGGCCGCACTCGCTCCACAAAGCATCCATAACAAACACACAACCATCAACAACATCAACAACAACAACTACAACCACAGAATATGGTATCTTCCGCCGCATACACCCGAACATTCATCACGCACTCACAATTTGCTGCTTAGCAAGGAGCCAGGGATGGGATCTACACACCTCAATACAAAGAAAAATGGGTATATTTACAACAGAAGGATGGAGGTGGGAGGCGACGCTCCCCCGCAGCGAAGGAGGAAGCAGCAGCTAGAGCAAAGGCGAGCTGTGGCGATGGTGTTCAAGATGAGGAGAGGGCAGTGCTAAGTATATCCTCTCCCATCCTAAGGCCGGGCTTAGGTTAGGTTAGGGTAGGCTAGGCTGGGCTAGGTTAGGCTTGGCCATATTTGGCTTGGGGATGGGCAGTAGACCAGGGCGAAGTAAGACGGTAGTCTTCTTCCTCCTCCTCCTCTTCCTCCCCCTTTTCCCTTAGACCAGCTCCACTCTTTCCATGTAGGAGTGTGTGGAAAGTCACCTACTTTTCTTGGCTTCATCTCACGTAAGCAACGCTGCGGCTAATGATCACGCCCCACTGCCACTATGCTTATCCCAACAGCCGGGGGGGGAGGGGGCTGGGCTGGGCACAATGCAAATGGCCCCTTCCCCCTTCCCTTCCCTACCCTACCCTCTCTTTCCCTCCCTGAAGCATCCAAGGTTATATTACTACTACTACAACTGCTCTGCCACCCCGTCTTTCCCTTTACCAGTAACTTAGTGTCCAATTCCTGCACCCATCCTGCCTTCCCCTGCCCTTCCTTCCTCCCTCAATCTCTCTCTCTCTCTCTCTGTGTTTGTGCCCTGCTGCTGACTTTTGCCGGATTTTTCCTTCATTGGGACATGGGATTTCTAGCCAACACTTTTCCCACTTGGGCTACAGAGATTCTTGAGTAAGTGAGTGGGTAGATATTTTAGCTGTCTTCATAGTTTTGATGGGCTGGTAAATGTTGGATTCAATTTTATTTTATTTTATTTTATTTTTCTTGTTTTTATGATGATTTCTGATTTAAGTATCAGTGTGGTTCAAATCACCAAAATGATGATTGTGGGTACTACTTTGAGTTTTATAGAAGAGTGGTTTAGGGGAAGAGAAACAGTAGATTTTTGTTGTATGTGGGATGATGTTTGCCAAAAGAATTGTCTCTTTTTGGCATGATGCCTACAATTGTCCAAATCACCCCCCATCAATTATGAAATTTGAGACTTAAACTCTGTGCTACAGTTGAAAGGTGGTTCATTGTACATAATACCACTGCATATTTTCATATCCATTAAAATTCTTTATTTATTCATCAAAGAAAAAAATTAATATAATTTTTCTAACATGTATTGACTTGTAGAAAAGTGTATTATTAACTAAAATAAAAACTAAGTAACTTAATTAGTTTTTAACTCTCTCTTATTTTGCATGTGAATGTTCTTTCTACACATTACATGTAATTTTTTTTTGTAAGATCATTTGTAAGAATGTGTGTAATTATGACCATTATATTAATCATTATTTTTGTATTAAAAAAATCGTTCTTTTTTATTTTCTTATTCACTCCATCTTCTTTAGATTAAGTGATGCATCTTTAAGTTTATGGCTACTCAAATATATCACAATGTTTCTATATATGAAGTAATCAAATCAAAATATTGCTTACTTTCTTAAAACAAAATCCAAATTATTTTTCATTATCTTCAAATAATGTAGTATCTTCAGATTGAATGTAAATTCGCTTAAGTTCTTTTTAGAAACAAAATTAAACAAACAGAAAACTGCAATTCAACTTTAGTTTAAACATTTATAACAAAGTAGATTTAAAAATTTAAACAAAAAACATCTACAACGTTTATACTTGTTGTTTAAACTTAAACTAAATATTTATTGTTGTTGTATATTTTTTTACTTTATCCAAAAGTTATTTTATTTTTGCATCAGATGACATTTGAACATATGCAAATTATGTGACTTACATGAAAATTACATATGTGTAATAATTACAGTAGTACAAGCTTGACATCATATATATATATATATATATATATTTACACATAAACATTTTTTTTTATCTAAGTTTTACAATTTTTGTAGCATCAAAAATGTCACATATTACTTCCACTGATAATCCACGTAGGATATTCTTCCAAATGATGTTTTTTGTTTAAATTTTTAAATCTTGTATTGTGTTAAATATTTCAAATGCCTCTCACGTATTAAATTTTGCAACATATTAAAAAAATATACATGATCTTAATTGTGTGCTTTTTGAATCATTACAGAATTAAATTTAAACTCTTGTTACAAAGATAGAATCTGAAACAAAGTTTAAATAGAGCATATATGTAAATTTCTAAAGATGAGATTGAACTTTATTCAATAAAGAAATGTAAATAAAGCTCGTAAAATTACAAGAGTAAATGCTGATATTTTCTATTTGTGTTCTAATTCATTTTTCCATCAGATTTTCTCTGTTTTTCAAGGATAGCCATATTCCAAGAGAGTAAATCCAACACGTCCAAAGTGTGTTTCTTGCTATATAAAATTTGAACAGGAGTATTTAGATAAGAAACTAAACTAGTTTCTGGACAAGAAACCCATGACCGTGGGCTAGGGCCTGCGATTGAAGTCGCTACCATGACAGCGCACCGTGTGTTGCTACAAGTAGAATTCGTCGTGAAAAATTACATTTGTTTCATTCCAGAGACAATCTTGAGCTGGGCTCTCGCAGAAGGCTGTCCATTGATGTCTCTAAAATTAGTGGAGATCACTGAAATAGCAAGTAAACCTTCCCTTCAGACAGTTTAATGAGGAAATAGTTCATACGTTTTCAATACTACAGACAACCCAATCAGTGCTCCTCTCAGGTTTCAGAGGACGCATGTGAACAAAAACACATTTCAATCTTTCATTCAAGTGTGTCTCCGCACAATATAGACAGTCCACTAAAATGAACGATTACCATATATGTTGATGGCTGCTTCAAGTGAGCTCTGTTCAGCTCTCATTTGCAAAAGATTAATCAGTTTTGTGGGATGCAGTTTTGGAAGAGATGAAGCAATCTGTGTCATGAACAAGAAAGAAAGTCTCAGTTTTGTTGTAAGAACGCAATCGACATTTGCACAAAAGGAGACACTTGCAAACACATAACTCAGGGCTCCGTTCAAGATCATGGAATTAATCATGGAGCTGATAGAGTTTCTCTATGATCGGTATAACGCAACAGTCAACAATGCATTCTAAACAAAAAGTTTCGTACAAACATATGATATCCGATTGGAGTCAATTATGTGCCAATCATGTCAAGAATATAGTAGAATCACGAGTCTAAAATTTGTACTCGATGGCTAGTAACATAAAAGATCTGCAAAAATCGTTGAGGTTCACAAGAATTACCGTTGTAATAAAGGAATGTAATTCATGGTGCCTGTCAGCAATGGTGCTCCCAACAGGTCCTTGAACACCTCCAGCAGTGAAGGCGGTTCCACTATCTATTAATTTCGATCCAATCAACACGATCAATGTCTAAAACCGACTGAGGATACAAAACTAGTTCAATTCCACAAGATCATTGCTCCAGTTTGTGCAACTACGAAATTATCAATTCTGATCACTGCTGGAAGAAACGAGAATAAGTTCGTCAGAAGACGAGATGGAGCCTTAGGAATGTTCCAACCTTGATACTGATGGGAGAAGATATGACCTTTATAGAAAATTGCAAAACATACAAAAAAAACCAACCCACCAAAAGGTGAAGTTCACGAGGAGCTCAAGGTTCAACTCTTTAGCAGAGCTGAAAATCAAGCATCTTATACTTGTAAGTTTCACTTGAGAAATAAACACGGCTGTTGGGGTAGCCATGTTACTGAAATTCAACGCAAAAAGCTACATATTCTGTGTATGCGTGCGTGCGTGTATGTCTGTTCTTATAAACACACACACACACACACACACACATGCATTTACCCAACATCTGTTCACTTTTTTGCAAAATAACCACTGAAAGCACCTGAGCTTTACACAGTCTCAACCATTGTCAGGTCCCTACTGAAATGCGGTTCTCAATCCTTCATAATCATCAATTCGAGACAGCTGCAACCAATTAAAACAGAACTAAGGCTAGTGCGAATCACGTCAAACTTGTCCTGTTTATTCCTACAGGTCACTGGTGCGGCATGTATGGTTGGGTAAGGCAAACTCCTGTTGTAAAGAGCTCTGCTTTGACCAAACACAAAGGGAATTGGCTGCAAATGTTCATTAAACCAAAAATAAAACACTAAGTACGTATTGCTAGCAATCCACATGCGCTCAAAGAAAACATTTAACAGTCCTTTGTGAGCATGAACATTTGTCTTAACCAACGCAAACAATCAACAATAACCATATCAGTGAGCAACGTGTATTTCACTTACATTGCTTGCACTGTCAACAAGTTCGCTCTATATCTTCTCGATAGTATACTTCCTCTGTGTAAGATCATGTTGAAGTGCTTGTAGCTCCAAGGAATAAGACAAACTGACGACACATAACTATGTTAGTTTCTAAGTCTGTGGATTTTATAAGAAGAACAACTACCGACCATCACTAACAAGTAATCGAAAATATGCTCAAGAGTCGTCGGGTGTTTATGTCGTTAAGAAGGGTAAGAAAATTTCCATCAAGAGCAATGCTTTACGAAACCGCAGTAAGTCCCGAGCGCGAATCACACTAAAGTGTTGAAAAGTCAATTAAATGCGGTAGAGTTAGTGAGTTCTCTTGGGTGAGCTCATGATCAATATTTGAAAAAATAAATTATTGACAAACATACACTAAAACCTCGAGTACAAAATATGCACATCAAAATCCCTTCCATGCATTATCTCGATCATTGCACTGAGAGTTTGAAGAGAATTATTACTAGGTTGCATTGAAGTACTAGGACAGATCTGCACTCTACCGAGAGTCGTAGCTAAACAGGAAAACACAGAACTAAATCCTGCTACAGATAACAAACCTACCAAACCAAAACACACCTCAGAAAGCGAGTGAAGGAGTCAGAAAAAATAGTTAACTAAAACTGACTGTGGTTTCAGAATGAAGCGGCACGTTCATTTGAAAGGGTGCAACTGCCTCAATGGCATAAAACCTCATATATCAAACACATCTTTAATATACACAATATATACTTTTATTTACTTGAATAGAACTTAAGTCACATTTACAAATCCTATATACCTAAGTTCCAATATGGAATTAGAGCTTGCTTTTTGAGAATTGTTT